TGCTGTGTCCTTCTACAGCAATAAACAAAAGGACCAAGGAACAAATGCATCTGTCATTTCTCCCCCATTCATAAATATGCTGATGCCAGGAAGTTTGTAAACCACTTTGCCTATTTATCAGGGTAACCTCCCCAAGATAAATCAACCAGGGTATAGCCAACCCTCTGGTCAGAAGCTCTTAAGCTTACTTCAGGAAGATCATGCCAAACTAATCTTTTTGATTTTTTTGATTGGGTAACTAAAATTATAGATCAGGCTGGTGTAGTAGACATTGCTTACCTAGATTTCAGTAAGGCTTTTGACACTATTGCACATAGAAGGCTTATCAATAAACTGCAATCTTTAAGTATAGATTCCAATATTGTTGAATGGGTAAGGCAGAACCTGAGTGACAGGCAACAGAGGGTTGTAGTCAATGGAGTATATTCGAAGCTTGGGCTTGTCACCAGTGGGGTACCTCAGGGATCTGTACTTGGACCCATTCTCTTTAATATTTTTATTAGTGATATTGCAGAAGGTCTTGATGGTAAGGTATGTCTTTTTGCTGATGATACTAAGATATGTAACAGGGTTGATGTTCCAGGAGGGATAAGCCAAATGGCAAATGATTTAGGTAAACTAGAAAAATGGTCAGAATTGTGGCAACTGACATTTAATGTGGATAAGTGCAAGATAATGCATCTTGGACGTAAAAACCCAAGGGCAGGGTACAGAATATTTGATAGAGTCCTAACCTCAACATCTGAGGAAAGGGATTTAGGGGTGATTATTTCTGATGACTTAAACGTAGGCAGACAATGTAATAGAGCAGCAGGAAATGCTAGAAGAATGCTTGGTTGTATAGGGAGAGGTATTAGCAGTAGAAAGAGGGAAGTTCTCATGCCATTGTACAGAACACTGGTGAGACCTCACTTGGAGTATTGTACGCAGTACTGGAGACCGTATCTTCAGAAGGATATTAAAGGTTAAAGGATCTTAACATGTATAGCTTGGAGGAAAGACTAGACAGGGGGGATATGATAGAAACATTTAAATATATAAAGGGAATCAACACAATAAAGGAGGAGACTATATTTAAAAGAAGAAAAACTACCACAGAGGACATAGTCTTAAATTAGAGGGACAAAGGTTTAAAAATAATATCAGGAAGTATTACTTTACTGAGAGGGTAGAGGTTAACACCGTAAAGGAGTTTAAGCATGCGTGGGATAGGCACAAGGCCCAAATGGTTCTTATCTGCCGTCACATTCTATGTTTCTATGTTTCTATGTTTCATATTTATGTTGGCAGTCTACTTTTGGTCTCTGCTGTAGCCAACAACATTAAAATAATAAGGTTATACACAGAGTCATACTAATGTAGGTGCTGTTGGGTCTTAAAATCACTGTAATCGGCCCAGATTGCCTGACTATTCGAATTTTTTTTTGTGTGGATAGAGGTGCACAGATATCCTCTTAAGTCTGGCTCAGTAATGTCCTAAACACAGATAATACCATATGAAGTGTTAATGTTATCTTTTCCCATCCAATTTAACTCCACTATATACAGATCTGTATATAAGGGCCCTGTTTCTGTCCCATGTACATTGCGTACAATCTACTTTTGCTTTATCATCATCAATAACTAATGGGAAGATAGTTGCTTTCCTAATCTTTAAAAATTGATAAAACTTTTTTCAAAAAAGTATTTATATTGCACAGCTGCTAATCTCTTAAAATTTGTTTTGTTTTTTGGTTGATTCATCTTTATCTAAATGGTACCACAATGAGATATAATCATTTATTTTTTGTAATCTACGTTAACTATTTTAAGGACAGAGTTAGTATAAAGGATTAAAGAAAATATTTAGGGCTAGGGTTAGAGATTAGGGGATTTAGATTTACTGCAAATGAAAGAGGGATCAGGATTCAACATTTCAGGATAAAGGTTTGGGATTAGGATTTCACAATTAGTACAAGGAATAAGTAGAAAAGGGTATCGTTTCTGTCATTTAGGGATCGGTAACTGTGGTTTTAGGTGTGCGTGAAATAATTTAGGATTATGAATTAGTAAATAAGTTTAGATTCTTGTGATTAAAACAATGAAAATGTAAATGTCAATTAAATGTAAATTATTAATGATATTATCTAGAGAGTGCTAAATTATCTATCATCTGTCAATGATTTCAATGCCTTCAATTTATTCTTACTTTATTTATTATACCAGGAGCATGTATTTAAGGGGAAATATGTGTTTCTGATAGCATCATTGGTCATGGGTAAGAAGGTCTTCTTTTTATGTGAAGGGGCAAAAGTGGTGGAGCATGTGCTGAATATAGTTTATGGTAAATCATGGGCTAGTTTAGAAATTCTACAGAAAATTGGCAAAATATGTACATTCTTTCATCAAATATAACTTGTGTTGGCCCAATTAATTATTAATTATTGATGAGTACTAGAGCAAAACTCACAGTCACACACTTACGCACAATGCACTCATTCATCATTTATACAAAGCACTATTTAATACAGTATGGTTTATTTTCAGCTTTATCCAACTCACAGACAGATTTTGTATTTTTAATGAATGCACCATACAGCACCTTGCTGTTTCAGCTTGTATTACATGTTCCTAGATAATGTTACATTAGTTATTAACATTCACAAAGAATTGTATTTTGATATCCGGCAAGGATACAGGATTTGGCAGGCTGGCTTGGTTGTCATGTAAATACAAAAAGCCCTAACACCTATTAGCCAGCCACAATCCCCAGGTGCATGATCAGGCCAAGGTACGTTAAAGACTAACACCATGGAAACATCTTGTAAATCTTTAAAACAAGGTGTTTTACAAGAGTTATAAATCATGCAGAAGAACCTACAAGAGCTGCATTTCTAATTAACCTAGGTTTCAGTATCCTCCATGGTCGTACCTTCAAATCACTAATAAATACAAAACGTTGTATCTATTGGTTTCTGATAAAACTGACTATATAACAATGTAATATATAACTCTGTGCAAACAAAAGCTTGTTTGAGCATTGTTCTCAATAACCTTGTTTCCTGTTAATGCTAGACCATAATCCTTCTATTTCCTTTCATCTCTGTTCAGCTTTATTAAAAAGAACACGGACGTTAATGTTTGTTGTAGTATTTCTTTTAGAATTTACCATTACATTTTTATTTTTTTAATTCATGTATATTGACATTTTTCCCATGCTCCCTTTCTGACAGCCATCTTTATGTACTTTTGGAGAGACTTGTCAGTTAACATTATGTAAGCACGCATTCAATAAATTGAGATTTTCCTATCTATAAAATAAACTACCATTTTGGAAACAATGTATAAAGGCAAATAGTGTTTCAAGACTAAAAATCTATTTTACTTATATTTAAATCTATATTCTGTGTAGCGGAGATACAATATTCCCCAGGTTATCTCCGCTTAAGATCCCAGTGAGGCTCAGGAACAAGTAAATTATAAATCCACAGGCAAGGTTTCCAGCAGGCAAAATAATCCAATAGTATCCCCACAGCAATCCCAATGACTGGACGACACACAGCATCAGGAGCAGAACTGACAACCTTTATTCCACAGTGCCTTATATAGCATGCTCCCATGCAAGGGAGGGATTTCCATTCATTAATACAGTAGCCAATCCTGTCCCGGTAACCTCCCACACATCTCCTCCCCTCAGCAGGCATCATAATCCCTTTATCCAGTACAGCAATTCCCCCCGTTTCTGGATGTACCCCTAAACCTAGGGGTACCACTTTAAATTATACATCCCCTGGTAACCCTGATCTGGGTGAACAACATATCCAAAAATCACCCAGATCAGACCAGGGGTTCGGGAATTTCCTGGAGGGAATAAAATGACCGACCGTGCTGGATGCACTAGCCGAATTGGGGTCCATGCGATTGGGCCCTGCAGTCGGTCCTGGAAAAGGCGAATGAGGTACCTGAAAGCCTCCAGCTATAGAGGCTTGGGAGGGTTCACCTGAATCCCCTTGTTCGGTTGATTATGCCTACCGAACGAGGGGCCGTTCGGTAGTTTGGAACCGAACGGACCGGGCTGATGGAGGTCTCAGCGGTGTTCGCCTAGTTGAGTTTCCGTTTTGAGTTCCAGACACTCGACGGCAAAACACCGCTGTTCGGGAGGTTAAGATGGCCGCCGCCACGTGTTCGTTTCTCTAGTGGCGGCCACCCCTGAGAACAAAGGATTACTACACAGCTTGTCAATTACCCGTTCGCAACAATGTTGCAACGGGTAATTGAAGGCACACTTCACACAGGGGAGGTCTGACGGTTCGGTAGTTTCATTCAAACAAACTAAGGGAATGAAACTACCTAACATTCAGACGAATCCAATACATTTTACACATAGTACTTAGCTATTTTACACGAATGCATTCCCTTACTGCATAGACATTTAGCAAATAGACGAATACAGGTTACACATAATACAAGTCCCAGGGCAGCTCATGGCCATCCGCTACATTCTGTATCTAGATTATCTAGACTGTCTCTAATGACTATACTGTATTATAACCATGGGATATAGCAGGTAAGTGACTGAAAATGAAACGGGTATGCTGTGTTTGCAAATTGACCTCACCCCATGCACTCTGTGAGGATAGCAGGTTCATCACATATAAATTAAAAATACAAAATAATAAGTGATTTTTGTTAGCTTTGTGAGTGGTGTTTGGGGTATTCCACATTTTCGGGTCCTCTACCAGAAGTCTGGGACTCTGAGGGTTCCGCACAGTACTTTAGCTGTTCCTAGAACTGCACTCTTCTGGACAGTGATCTCAGATGATCCACCGGGATTCTGCTGGAGCTACCTTTCCAGCTTGGTTACTGTATTTTTTAATTTCTGTTGTTGTCAGAGAAAAAAAGCAGAAAAGGGAGAGTACACCGATTAAAGTAAACTCTGTCACATCCCATTAAAACAGCATGGATAAACGTTCTTCCCCAGGTGATGAAAATTATGCTATAGATAAGGCATAGGCAACCTTCGGCACTCCAGATGTTTTGGACTACACCTCCCATGATGCTTTGCAAAGCATCATGAGAGGTGTAGTCCAAAACATCTGGAGTGCCAAAGATTGCCTATCCCTGCATAGCCAGTCACGGAGCTAACAAATCGTTGAAAAATAATTAGCATTGGGATAGATGACTGACAATCTGAGGAAACATGCATAAAAATGGCTGTTAGAAACGAGGAGTGAGAAAGGTAGGCAAGTGAATTCTTAAAAAATTTCAGAGAATATGGAAACAAAAAAAATGAGATGGTATATTATAACATAAACATTATTTTAAGCTATTAAAATTATTACATTAATACTTTAATATGTTTTAAAAATAAAAACGCAACATGGTATTCGAAAAGCTGCTAGAAGAATATTTTTCTTGGCATCTGTAAAAGTTCCCTTCAGAAGGGCTTCAGTGACATTTTAGAAGTCACAAATCTACATGTCTCTCCTAATTGTATCTGATTCATGTTGCACCCTATTAATCACAGAATCCATCAACATTTCTTGGATTCGTTTCAAATCTGCCGGTAAAGGGATAATTGACGTGTCTCAAACTACTCTATTAGACAGGCTTAAAACATGCTCACTTACCTTACAGTTTGGGTCACCAATGGTTAGTGGTCAAATGAAAACATTGAACCCTGATATATATTACAGCTTTTCTTTAAGCATTCAAAATATATTACAGAATTCAAGTCTTTATATATAAAAGGAGCTTAAATTAAAAAAATTTTAGATAAGCTTTTTAAATAATTTTACATTTTTGGATAAACTTTTGAAATTGATTAATATTTTGAAAAATATTGATTGATTTTTTTTTACATATTGATATATTTTTATATATAAAATATTTTTTGGTATATTAATATTCTGAAAAAACGTATTTTAAAAGTTTATCCAAAAATATTAAATCATTTGAAAAACATATACAAAAATATTAAACTGAAACCATAATGCATAAAAAGTCCATATAAGTGACTCCTTTTTAATTCACTTTATATATTGTGCTGTGTATTAACTAATGGATATGAAAGTAGTAATATTTACTATTATGTAAAATTGTAGGTAAAAACGTATCAGGTATTTTGTGGCTCGTCTATTTCTTCATGAATTTAACATGAATATTTTTACTTTGTTGGAAAAATAAAGATTGTTTTCTGATCACATAAACCTTTGTTCGTGATGGGGACTGAAGACCTGAGGAAGTGACATTTAATTTGTTGCGCTTATATATATAGTTGAAACCTTTTATAATACTGTGCGTAAGTTCTTTGATTATATGTTTATTGGATAGTTAACCACTAACCCACCAAGTAGTTTGAAACAAATTTAAGTGTCCGGTAAAAGTAATATGTAAAATAGCAGGGCCGGACATTAATGGAGTAGGATACAAGGCTGTATAACTCCTGCCAGTGGTTTTAAAAGCATTGCCGTCTATTTGTCTGGGCCAAAACTATAGACCACACTGCAAGTACTCGCCGTATTGCGATCCAGCAGCACATAATTACTGAAAGGAGGAGGTCTCCTTCCCATGGTGCACTCCTCAGGCCTAGGATGGTGCCAAAAGGGCAAAGTCACTGGTCTCGAGTCCCAAGGACAGCGATGTCACTACCATCTCGGCATCAGTTCAGTCTGCACTTACCTAGGCGGCTGTCCAGATGCTTCTGGACAAGTTACAGGCCTCCTTGCAACACAACAGCTTTAGCAAAATTGTGGAGGACATCTGAATAAACATACAAAGCCAAGGAGAGCGCACATATCGCTAAGAGGAAAAGATGGATGAACTAGTTGAGGCCCATAATTCTACAGCAGATACCATGAGGCTCTAGAGGCCATGGTGGAGGTTGAGGAGAGCAAGCTAGCGGATTTGGAAGACCACCAACTTCGCAACAATTTACAGTTGCAGGGTATTGAAGAGTCGGTGGGCAATCAGGAACTATATAACTACATCCTATTTCTTCCACAAATTGCTACCAAATATGGAGTCATGGGACTTGCTACTAGATCGAGCTCACTGCTTACCAAAATCCCAACATCTACCTGCAGCAAACGCTAGAGATACTATGGTGCAGTGCACTTTTTTACCATAAAGGAATGAATAACAAAAGCCACAAAGGCTGCTCGGATGCTGCGAATATTATATGAGGCAATTCAGCTACATACTGATTTATTCCCAGCGAGCCACACCGGGATATTAAATGACCCCATTATAATAATAATAATAATAATAATAATAATAATAATAACAAAGGGTTTTAACCAGGAAAGATACATTCAGATATTTTCTAGTTTCCAAGTACATTCTTGGGATGTTACTTTTTGTCCAACATCCAGGGGATGTTACTTTTATGTATTGGAGAAGCAACATTTTAGTATAGGTCACAATGACTATAACTTTTTATCCCTGAATTGTAAGGTACGCTAATAAGGTACGAGCTGACATAGCCCTATTCCAGGAGACTAATTTATCTTGGGGAAAGCAGACTAAATTTACATTGAAATATTACGCTACTAGATATTCCTGTAACAAGTCAAAAAAGTGGGTCTCCACTTTAATTAATTCTTCTACTAATTTTATTTTCCATAAGAAAATTGCTGACAAAAATAGGGGATATCTGATACTACAATGCTCTCTCAATCACTTCCCTTACACGATAGTCATCGTGTATGGTCCAAGGGAAGTCCAGACTTCTTTTTGTTAAAAAAAAACGGATATCTCTGGAGTCTGACTCCACAGCAAACACTTCTTATTAAACCTGTTCGCAGATGATATCTTATTGACGGTCATGGAGACACTCACTTCTCTACCAGCTTTTCATACTCTTTTAGATTTGTTTGGAAAACTTTCAGAATCTAAAATAAAAGCAAGCCTTGCACTTAGGATCCCCACGGACAATTAACGCAGACTGAAAGCAGCTCATGCTTATGATTGAGGGATAGACTTCCTTAAATAAGCTCAGGTCCCTTTTTCACCAGGTTATTTATATTCTTATTGCAACCTAGTTGTGTATTGCCAGGGTTTGGATTTAACTGCATAATGAATGTAATAGGTGGAATTAATTAAAGCAACTCATACCTGCCCCATCTTCCCCATTCATTGCAGCTCTAAGGAACTTTAATCTACTTGATCAATACAGTCTAAGGGAAGGGAGATGTGAAGAGCAGTTGGGCAGTTGGGTGGGGGAAGGGTGAAGTATGGATAGCATTGCTGTTTCTGCCAGTACAGATCCCACTTGAAAATCGGTTTTGTTTTGATTTTCCTTATGATGGTTTTATTGTATGTTGATGTATTTTATTACAAGCTGTACCACTGCTAAACTATTATTATTTGTGGTTTCACCAACTGGTACATGCCAAAGTAACATCCACATGAATGCAAAGACCCAAAGTTCTTCAGCAGAATATTGTCCAGAGCATAACACTGCCAGCACTCTCCTGTCTTCTTCCCATAGTGCATCCTGCTGCCATATGTTCCCTAGGTAAATTACACGCACGCACCTTGCTATCCACCTAATCTAAAAAAAAAGTGGATTATCAGACCAGGCAACCTTCTTCCATTGATCCACGGTCCAGTTGTGACACTCATGTCTCCACTAACTTCTGGAGTTGGGTCATCACTGTGACCGGCCTCTGGCTTTGCAGCCCGATACACAGCAAACTCTGATGCACTGTGTACTCTGACACCTTTCTACTATGGCCATCAATAGGTTTTCAGGAAATAGAGCTACAGTATCTCTTCTGTGTGATAAGACCAGATGGGCTAGCCTTCGCTCTCTACATGCATCAATGAGCCTTGTGCACCCATGACTCTGATGCCGTTTCACCAGTTGTCCTTCTTTACACCATATTTGATAGGTACTAACCACCGCATACTGGGAATAGTCCAGAAGACTTGCCATTTTGGAGATGGTCTGACCTAGTCTATTGCCCATTTTGCTGCTTCCATAACATGAAATTCAAGAACTGACTGTTCACTTGCTGCCTAATAAATTCCACCTATTGGCAGGTGCCATTTTTATTTTCTTCACATGTCAGTGGATTTAAATTATGGTTGATCCACGTATAAACAGCTAAGCAAAGGCTGACAGCACTGGGAACCGGACTGAGATACACCAGAGAATAAATGCCCTGTTTACCAAAGGACCATCCAAGGTGAATGCACAGCTAAAGGGTAATCACATATCCACCCAAGACCCACTCAGAGCAGAGACTAAACAGTACTGGAAGAACATATGGGAAAAACTAACATCACATAACACCAAAGCCCAGTGGCTACTAGACCTGAAAACAGACGACTGCATGCTCCCAGAACAGGAACCAGGCACCATCATAGTAGGAGACATGCAACAACAAGTAGTCAACCTGAAGAGTTAGTCAACCCCAGGACCTGATATGATCCACACCTATTGGAAAAATTAACAATGCTACATTAACACCTAGCAGCACAAATGTACAAGCTACTAGTAACAGGCTTTGCGGTGTGCTTTGTGTTTATGGTGAAATTATCTGTGGTGGGGGCTTGTTCTTAAATATAAGGGTGTAATAAATGAGTGTGACTGACTGTGGCAAGCGTGAGTATGACACGTGATTGTGACAGAGTGAGTGTGAGGGGGTGACTATGACAGAGTGAGTGTAACAGGATAAGTGTGTGGGTGGGGTGTAACAGGTTGAGTGACAGGGTGACTGTGTGTGGGGGGTGAATGCACCTTTTGCTGGGCCCTTCTGAATGCCACTTCCAGTCTCTGGCCAGGAGGGAGCATCTACAGAGAGCTGCTCCCAGTCAGAGGTTCAGCCAGCAGAGAAAGCAGAGCAATGAAATCAGTATATTATTCCCCACTGGCCCATGCAGCTGCGGGTGGGGGGGCGCTAATGAGAGCTATACTATAATGGTAATACCAGTTCCGCTATCTGGGCAGCTATTGCAAACTAAACTTCAATACATAAATTCCTGTATACATGATTGCGAGGTTTGGCTGCATAATCTAGCAGCCTTGTATACATGAGTTATGATGTGAAGGGGTTAAACGGAGTATACACAAATAAACCTAGTTATACTGTCTGATCGTGA